GGGGGAACCAGGGATTGAACTTAGGCCCTTGCGCTTGCCAGGGAAAGCACTTATTCCACTGAGCCATCTCCCCGGCCCCATTACTTTCTGTTTAGAGCCTTTGAGAGCTTCTTAGTTATTCATAAAAATATAAAAGGTTATTGTGAACTATATCTGCTATGCTGATTATCCTGATGAGTCATCATATGTATTACAATGCTGTATCCCACAAAATGAACAATTAAAATTATAATAAAACAGAAAGAAAATCTTTCAACATCTGTATTATAGAAGAATATAAAAGAACAACCAAATTTTGGTTAGGTATTTTTTAAAAACTTATTTATTTATTTTTGTATTTTAGGGAAAGGTCTACAGGGTATTCATGGTCTCACTGCTAGACTGAACTCGTAGTGATCTGCCTGTTTACTGCTTCCCAAGAGCTGGGATTACAGGTGCACACCACCATGTCTGGTCTCAATTGCCATCTCAGTGAGTCCTGGGGGTGGGGCCTGCATGGCAGAGCTTTAATCCACTGAGCTATTTGGCTGGCCCTAAACTTTTTTTTTTTTTTTTGGAACCGAGGATTGAATGCAGGCCATTGTGCTTGAGCCATCCCCCAGCCCTTCCCAAACTTATTTATTTATTTGTGGTACTAGAGATTGAATACAGGGAACACTGAGCTACATCCCTAGCTTTCTGATTTTTAATTTGATTTATTTATTTATTTTTGCAGGGATTGAACTCAGGATGCTGCGCTTGCCAGGCAAGCATTTATTCTACTGAGCCAATTCCCTGGACCCCAAACATTTTTTAAAAGATGTAACCAGCCAGTCAGCCAGTGCTAAGGTAAGGATGTCCATGGTCACCGTTTCTCCTTAGCACTTTTTCACAGCATCCAGCCAGCTCAGTAAAATAGTGAATTAGTCATGTTGTAAATCATAAGATCCCCTTAGAAAATGCAAAAGAATCTACAAATTATTAGGATACGCCAGGGCTGGCCAAATAGCTCGGAGGATTAAAGCTCCTGCAAGCAGGTGCAGGGACCAGGAGTTCGATCCCGGGACTGCCTTGCTGGCCCTGCCCCCGCCCCAGGCGCACTGAGACAGCAGTTGAGACTGGGTGTGGTGGTGCACGCCTGTAATCCCAGCTCTTAGGAGGTTGTAAACAGGTGAATCACTACAACTCCGATCTAGAAGTGAGACCCTGCACATCCTGTAGACCCTTCCCTAAAATACAAGAAAAAATTAAAAAAATATTAGAATACACCAAAGTAGTACATTAATAAAAAATAACTGGCTTTTCATATATCAGAAAGTTATGAAACAGTTTTCATTTTTTAAATTAAAAAACATTGGTGGTACTGAAGATTGAGGTCAGGGCTTTCTCACTAAGCTACATCCCCATCTCTTGTATTTTTTTTTTTTTACTTTGAGATAGGGTCTAGGTAAATTGCTGAGTTGCCCAAGCTGGGCCTGAACTTAGGTTCTTCCTGCCTCAGCCTACCAGAGTGCTGGGATTAGAGAAGTGTGCTACCATGCCCAGGTATAAAGTGTTAAGATAGGGGTGCAGAGGCACATGCCTACAACCTGAGGTACTCAGAAGGCTGAGGCAGGAGGATTGCAAACTGAAGACCAGCCTAGGCAACTTAGCAACCCTTTATCAAAATAAGAAAAAATTTTAAAGGGCTGGGGATATAACTAAGTAGCAGAGCACTGCTGGGTTTGATCCCTGGTACCACAAAAAAAAATGTCATTACCATACAACAAAAAATAGGAAGTACCTAGAAAAAAAATTAAAATGTGGAGCTTGAGGCAGGAGGATTGACAGTTTGAAGCCATGGGCTCCCTGGAACCATAGCAAAACCCAGCCTCAAAAAGCCTGAAATGATCTCTGCTTTTAGCCAGCATATAGCAACAGACAAGACCTTTCCTGAGTCAGTGAAAACAGTGGGCAGATATGAAACAGCCGTTCTCAAGACACTGGCAAAGAAGGAATAATCCCCGAGAGAAGAAAAACAAAGGGGAGTCTCCCACACTGTGATCCCAGCACTCAGGAGGCTGAGGCAGGAGGATAGCCACAAGTGGGAGGCCAGCCTGGGCTACATGGTGAGCTCAAGGCCAGCCTGAACTACACGTCAAGACCTGTCTCAAAAGGACAGAAAAAAAGAAAAGTGACTCCAAAAGTTTCCCAAGTCCAGTTGCTCCTTGGGGTGCGAGAGGTGTGTGTAGCAGGTAGTTCAAGTGTCAGGTGTGCACTCGCGCAGCCATTCCCAGGAGCCGTGCGGAGACACGCGTGGGGAGCAGCGGTAGTGTGCACTTCTGGATTCGTTTCCCCTCACCCTCTTGTAAAAGGAGGTTTGTGGGTTCACACAAGTGGCTGGCAGAGTGCAGCCCGTCACAGCCAAAACTCAAAAGTGTCAGACTCTTGCTTGTTTTGGGGGTAGTTTTTGTTTTGTTTTGTTTTTTTAAGAGCCTTTTTTTTAATTTTAGGGAAGGGTCTACAGGGTGTTCAGGGTCTGACTTCTAGATCAGACTCATAGTGATCTGCCTGTTTAAAGCCTTCCAAGGGGCTGGGGAGATGGCTCAGTGGAATAAGTGCTTCCCTGGCAAGCGCAAGGGCCTGAGTTCAATCCCTGGTTCCACAAAAAAAAATAAAAATAAAAAATAAAGCCTTCCAAGAGCTGGGATTATAGGCGTGCACCAGCACACGCTGTCTCAGCATGCCCTGGGGGCAGGGCCGACTTGGCAGGCTTGGGGATGAAACCCCAGGACCCTGCGCCTGTGAGTTTTTTGTTTTTATGGGACAGAACTCACCAAGTTCAGGCTGGTCTTGAACTTGCAGTGCTCCTCCTGCCTCAGCTTCCTAAGTGCTGGGATTACAGGTGTGTGCCACCACATGTGGCTCCCAAGTGTTAGATGGTTGTCAAGCATGTCAAGCTCTGGTTTGTTAAACAAGTCCACCAGTCACACGTGGAAAAAGATGGAAGCAAGCTGAGCTTACTGTGCACACTTGTAACCCCAGCACTTGGGAGGCTGAGGCAGGAAGATCTCCGGTGAGGCCAGTGAGTTCAAGAGGGCTACACAGGGAGTTCAAGAGGAGGTAAAGAGGCCTGGTTTTTTGTTGTTGTTTGTTTACTTTTTAACTTACGTGTTTGGTACAGGGTCTCACTATGCAGTTTAGACTTGTAGTGATCCTCCTGTGTTCAGCCTCCCTAGTGCTAGGTTTACAGGTGTATGTCACCACACTGGACCTTGATGGCCAGCTCAGCCCACCTGGGGATGGGGTCAGCATGACATACAGTACCAGAGATCAAACCCTGGTCCCTGCACTTTCCTAAGCAGGTGCTTAGTCTGCTGAGCTATCTCGCCAGCCCTAAGAGGCCTGTTTTGGATGCCTAGTGCTTGCACTGTCTGAAGAGAGCTCACTGAGGCTGCTGCCCACGCAGGCAGTAGGGTCTTGTAAATGAGATCACACTCCATGCGACATGGTGGCTCAGCAGAGTTAGACACAAGTGACCTGGTGAGGGTGAGGCAAGGCAGGATGGGGTCTAAAGCGGGGTGTTCGCATCAGCTGGTGAGTGCCGAGGAGAGCCTTGCCCAGCACATGTTGGTGTCACCCACTTAGCCCCAGCGCTACCCCAGAGAGTATGCAATGCTGACTGCATCCAATGAAAGGGACTGCCCAACTCTTCAGGAGGCTAAGGTAGGAGGATATCTGGGGCCACAGGTTTAGGGCCAGCTGGGACCACGTAGCTGCACCCTATCTCAAACACAGAAAGTCCCCCCAGAAACAGAGGCTCCAGGTCATTAAACAAGTCTACCAGTCACATGTGGCAAAAGATGGAAGCAAGCTGAGTGTGATGGTACACACCTGTAAGCCTAGCACTTGGGAGGCTGAGGCAGGAGCATCTCTGTGAAGCCAGCCTGGGCTACATAGTGAGTTCAAGACCAGCCTGATCTGCATTACAAGACCTGGTCTCAAAAGAAAAAAAAGATGGAAGCTGTCTGCAAATCCTGTCTCCCTCCCCACAGCTAGCCTCCTCCCATTGGGCCTGCTGCACCCCAGCTGTGGAGGCCAGGAGCCAGATTCCCGCAGAGTGGGTTGTGAGGCCAAGGAGACAGGGATGGCAGGGCAGGTAAGATCAGCGCGGCAGACATTTGGAGGAAAAGCTGAGGGACCGCTAAAGCTATCTGTTTCAGAGGTGGGTGGTACAACATTGTTTGCTGAGCAAACTTAGCATGCTGAGTAGTTCCTACCAGGCACTGCGGCCACAGCAGCTCCTCTGACTTTCCAGAGCTTCTCAGTCCACCCCTAGGCCCGGGCCACTGAAAGCCGCCGCCTGTGCCCTGGACCCCTCTAGAGACTCAGCCTTGTGTCTGCAGAGGAGAGGAGGACACCAGCTCCCAGATGGTGACACTGCCCAAGGAAATGCCCCTGGGGATGTGTGGCTGGGGCAGTGGCCAGGGTGAGAAACACGGGACACTTCTCTCCTCAGCAGATTCCAGCAGTGGGATGAGAAGCCTGTCCAGGACAAGCCCGTTGGTTTTTTCCCTTTAATTGTGTTAAACAATGAACCTCAGTAGATCTTTCTTCCCCCAAAGACATGGCCTTGAGAAAACTCCAGTGCCTGTGCTTTAATAAGATAGGGTTTCAGAAAAACACTGCCACATGAAGTGCTTATGTTGATAAAATGCCATGGGGCAGTGGCCAGGGTGAGAAACACGGGACACTTCTCTCCTCAGCAGATTCCAGCAGTGGGATGAGAAGCCTGTCCAGGACAAGCCCGTTGGTTTTTTCCCTTTAATTGTGTTAAACAATGAACCTCAGTAGATCTTTCTTCCCCCAAAGACATGGCCTTGAGAAAACTCCAGTGCCTGTGCTTTAATAAGATAGGGTTTCAGAAAAACACTGCCACATGAAGTGCTTATGTTGATAAAATGCTTGACCTCTGGGGGCTCCGTGTTGGCCTCTGTCCCTGATGATTCCCGTGGGACAGCCCGCTGTCCAATCAATGCTGTCAACTCATGTGACAAAAGCAGAAGGCTGGGAACATCCTGCTCCTCATTCCCCTGCTGTCCCCTCCTATCCCCTGGACTGGTCTTTGGCTCTCTCTCTCCCCTTGCAGGTCCCCAGCGTGTCATCTGTCCCTACTTTGCCTCCCCTCATGGTGGCTCGGCCTCTCTAGTGCTCAGATGTCTGCTGGAGTTTCAGGGCAAGGGGTCTGTGTGTCTGTGGCCTTCTCTCCCTGTGGGAGTCTGGAGGGAGCCAGGCAGAGGCTTGCTGTTTGCAGGAATACTATCACTGCGGTGCTCTGTGGCTCAAGCTTGTTGGGAGCTGGTGTGATGAGGGTCGTAGGCCTGAGATGCTCTGTGACCCGCAGGCAGGAGAGGTCAGGTGGGTGCCCTGGAGTGTGGGCTGTCCCACGGGAATCATCACTTGCAACACCAACTCCAGAGGGAAGCATCTTGCGCTAAACTGTAGGGAGGCACCAAGGCCTGGGACAGAGACCAGGCCCAGCAAACAGCTCCCGTGGTTCCGCTCACAGCAGTCCTCTTGAATTTGAAGCAAGGCTGAGACTACTCTTCCTGAAGAGAAAAAAACAAAAGGAAAGATGATGGTGAGGCAGGGCCCTGCCTGCCACAGAACCCTCCGTATTTCAGTGGCCCTTTTTGGGGGCTCCAGGGCAGAAGATGGTGCCATTCACAGAGATGGGTACAGAAGGGGGAGCCAGTGGGCCAAGGATGAGTTCAGTTTTGGGGCTCATGAGGCCAAAGCTGTTGGATAACAAGAATGAATGTCCAGATGAGCATGTCTTATTAGAGGGAGGTTTGAGTCCTGGGTGTGAAGTGCCCAGTCACATAAGTAGATGTACCCAGGAAATACAGAGAGCAAGTGAATAGGGGTCCAAGTGGGAGTCTTCATATACCTCCACCCACCAGGCATTTCAAGGAAGATGGGTGGGGTCAGAGAGTAGGAAATCCAGAAGCAAATGGTGTCCTCGAAGCTAAGAGGCTCCCCAAGGCAGGAATGCAGACTTATCCAGCACATCTGCCAGCTGGTGTTGGCCACCCAGGCCTCAGTGTGCCTCTGTGTATTTCCCCAGGGGTTGCTAGCCCTGCCTGTGTGTACAGGTCCCAGGGGCTGCCTACCTCTGGAGGCTGTGCTGCTGGGAGCTGGCCTGGCCTGGTACCTGGGGAGCACGGCTGACCATGAGGATGCACAGACCAGCGAGGATCAAGAAGGTGGGCACGGCGCCGATGAGGACCTTGAGCACGACCACCACCTTGGCTGCCTGCTTGCAGGCTCCCACCTTGTACCCTGCAAACCTGGAGAGGTACACCCTGACAGTCTAATCAGGGACAGCTCAGCACCCACCCACTCCTGAAATTTGACTTCATGTCTTGGCCAGATCAGCCTAGTTATGGAGGAGGGTGGGTCAAGCGTACCAGAAAGGAGTTCAGAGAGCTGAGAACATGAGAGCTGGGGCTCCTAAAGGGAGACGTTGCTCAACAGAGGCCCCTTGCCATGTGCACTAGAAGGGGAGATGTTTCCCACACTCCACAGAACACAGCTGTGCCCAGATGCATGGGCATCCCATGCTGTTGAGGGTGGCAGCTCTGCCTCCTCTTCCCACCTTGATGGTCTCTGTGCCCCTGGTTTCCCCACCCCTGGGACTGACTCTAGACTGAGGGTGGAGATGCCCAGGGTGCATGCGCTTGAGAGCTTGGTGAAGAAGACATAGGATGAGTAGAAAATGGTCTCCAGGCCTGGGCCATGTTGGTGCTGCAGCTGGAATTCTTCCACCACGTCTGGCAGCATGGACCTGGGACAGATTTGTGGAGTTAGCTCGCCTAATCACCTTGACCTTGACAGCCAGCTTCCTGTGCACTCTCCAGGGACAGAACTGAGTGGGCATCCCTTCTGCTCAGGTACAGCCCACAGACAGCAGCATGTGTGCTTGGCCTGCACCCGGCATTCCTGCCATGGGTGCCCTTTTACAGGGCCTCTTTCTCCCACAAGGCTGGATCTAGGAGCCTACAGCAGAAACATGGAGGAAGAGACCCTTACGGAGGCACTTGAAGCCTCTCCCCAAAGCCCCAACCTACCAGGGAAGCAGCAAAGACACAGCAATGCTCACGCCAGAGACAAAAGCCACCACATATGCCACGGGCACTGTGGGCAGAGCAGCCAGCAAGATTGCGAAAGGCACCATCACCTGGGAAGATAGACATACAAGCTGTCCCTCCTCTATGTCCTGGGCTTGTGCATCATCCACATGCTCACCATGTTTTAGTGGTGAGCCAAGCTCTGCAGATGCAAGGGAACGCAGGGCCCTCGCTGCCAGCTCCAGGAGGAGCTGTGGGCATAGCCTTGCTGCCCCCAACATCACTTTCTGTCTCACTCACACAGATGCCAAGGGCCGATGTCTTCTTCCCAAATCGCTGGAGAACCCACTCCCACAGCGGGGTGCTCAGCACAGCAGAGACCTGTGAGCAGACAGCGTCAACACATCAAGCCCTTTAGCTAGCACCTCCCCTGCATCTCAGCTCAGCCTCGCCTTGCCCTGGCTTCTGTCACAGCTGTTAACTCAGACCCCGCCACTGTGTGCTGTGCTATCAGGTAAGTGACTACAACCAAAGCAGAGTATAGAATGTTGAGCACTGGAACTCTGGTCACATGTGACCCCAACTGACATCCCAAGCGACCTGGGCCCCACCAGCCAAGGCCCTCACCAGAATAGTTAGCACCAGGCTCTGGACATGGTCTTGTAGCTGGGCAGCATGTGTACAGAACAGGACCAGGTAGCTCTGCTCCACCTGAGGGTGCGGCCAGGATGTGGGCATGGGCAAGCGACAGCGGAAGCACAGGAATCAAGGACAGGGGCAGGGTCTTGAGTCTGGCTTCTCCTCTGGGACCTTGAACTCAGGTTTCTGCCATCATCCTGCAGTCACCCCCACAGAGGATGCACAGAGAGAAGCACTATTCCCAGCCCATCACCACCCCTTGCACAGCTAAGACCAGGAGCACTTGGCATGCGAGGAAACTAATCCAGACTCCACCAGCTTCCTAGGACCTTAGCCCCCAGGCCTACAGCCCCACCCAGGGCTCTCCTTGCAGCACCAGCCTCTGGTGGTGTCTCCTGTAAAACTCAAGGCTGACTCTGGTGTGGTGGGCCAGGCCTGCAGGGCCAGCAGGGCCAGCAGGGCCAGAGCCATTACAGTGGGGCCAGCTGGCCATGATACCTGCACTGCAGCTGAGATGAACAGGAAGGAGACCACCAGCTTCACATAGGGTGGGTATCGGGTTGTGAGGCCCAGGCCAGCCCAAAAGCCAAGGCCTTGGCCTGAGGCTGGGCCGACTGGGTCTGTAACACAGGAAGTGATACTGTGGCTTGGCAGTTTAAAAGTCCCAAGAGGAGCCCTGTCCCCAGTTTCTGGCTCCTGCACTCTCACAGCACCTCCATACCTGGCTGCTCCTTGACTCCAAGGCAGAGCAGAGTGATGCACACAGGGTAAGTCACAGCAACTGCAGCGGCCGCGAAGGAGTAGAGGCGAGTCTGGGGGATGGAAGAGAAAGGGGCTGTGGGCGGTGTCTCCACCTCGTGGAAGCCAGGCAATGTACTTCTCCCTGGGAGCAGAGAGGCTGTTAAAAGTGAGTACAAAATATCCCCTCAAGTCTCTTGTGTTCAGGGCAGGGGCTTTCAAAAGGTGCCTGGACCTTGGGGCCTGTACTCATCACCGGATCCCTCCATTGACATGAAACTCAGGGGAGGGGCATGGGGACCATTGGTCCCAGGACCCTCCACCCTCAGCTTCCACACTGCCAAGAGGTGAGCAGCTCTGCTGGCCTGTGCCCTTACTGCCCCTTGGGCCCCCAGCAAGGGAGCAAGCAAACAGCTGCCAAAACTGTGAGACCACGGGCCACAATAAACCCTTCCTCCTCTAGGTTGCCTATGTCAGATGTTTGGTCACTGTGAAAAACAGCTAACACAGGGGCCTTCATCCAATCTCAGGGGTACTGAGTTCCCTCCATCAAGTCACTGGAGAGAGGGCCAAAGGGCCTGGGTGCTCCTTCCACATGTGCCCCCCCACACACTGGTGACCCTGTGTGACCTTGTGTATGCTGCATGGAAAGCAGGCAGCAATGCCACTAGGGACCACAGTGCTCAGGAGTGTGTGTGACGGGTACTGGGGACTGAAAGCAAGGGAACTGCCTCTGAGCTTCACCCTAGCTTCATTCCTGGCTGCAAAGGTGTAGAGATAAGATGGTCCTTGGGGCTAACACCCTCAGCTAAAGGATCAGGGAAGGTACAGGGGCACAGTGAAACACCAAAAGACAAGTGGGAGGGGCTGGTGGAAAAGCAGCCCTGGAGAAGCTGACCCTGAAGAGGGGGTAAAGGCCACCTTGGCACTCACTGCATCTGGGGAGACAGCCACAGGCCCAGGGAGCTCACAGTGGTTGGATCTGTGGGCACTGGACACAACCAGCCCATGGATGGTGGCACCCATCAGTGTCCCTGCCATTTCCATCGTCATCCCTGGAAACAATAGTGTGAGTGACCAAGCCAGCCACGGGGCTCCAGGGGCAGCGCCCTCCCGCCAGACCCCAGGGATACACTCACGATACGCAGTGGCAGAGTCCCGTTCCTGGGGGCTTGGGGTGATCAGCATGGTGAGTGCTGTGTAGGGCACCTGGAAGAACTGGGGTGGCCTGGCAGACCTTAGGATGCTCCCTGGAGCCCACACTTGCCCCATGAAGGCCCATGCTCACCCCATCCATCCCAGTACCCAGGGCTCAGTCTGACCATGTCTCCTGGTCATCTGAACCTCAGAATTCAAGGCTCAAATGGGCCAGCAGAGCTCATGATTTGTTCCCAGGCCCTGGTGGGTGGGCAGCAGAGGTGGACTTGTGGCTTTGTCCCTTTCCCTCAGTAGTAGCCACCTCCAGCAGTGGGGTCCATGAGAACCAGGCCTAGGAGACGAGGCTACCTGCTTACCGTGGCCAGGGCCTGGAAGAGGCAGTAGAACGTGGTATACCAGAGGCCTCGCAGACTGGTGAAGGGAGGCAAGAACCACAGAAAGAAGTAGGCCAGGCTGAGGAAAGGTACGCAGCCCAGCACCCTGGAGAGCACAGCTGAGGTTAGGAGTTCAGCACTAGGACAGGGACCACCTCAGCCTCCTTCTTTGGTCTTGGGGCTCCCATGTGGGAAGTGAGTGCAGCAGAGGGGACACTCGGGTCCTCAGCAGTGCCATTCCCAGTATTAAGGACACTGGGACATAAGCAAGTTGCACTTCCTCTCAGACCTTCCACAGCCCCCACTGGGCCTGACCACACTAGGCCACAGGCCAGGCCTTCGAGTTATGCAGACACGTTGAGCCCTATGCCATCTGGTAGGGCAGACCCAAGAATGCCCCACAGGCCCTCTTTGTCCTCCCAAGACACCATCCAGTCTTGATCCCCAACCGCCCATAGGCTGTCCACTAATATAGGCTGCAATCAACACGTGCCCTTGGGGTATGGAGCAGGGTTCCTGGATCCGGAGCACTGAGGGATTGCTCACCAGGGCATGAGCCGTCCAGACCTTGTCCTCCTGCTTCTGTTGATGAAGAACCCAGCCACAGGGTCAGCAACTGCTCCCGACACCTTCCCTCCAAACAGGACAAGAGACGCCTGTGCAGCAGGGATCTGAAACCCACAGGGAAGGGATGACAGCCCGGGCCCAGCAGAATCAAACACGGTACCAACCAGTGTGGCTACTTGCCAGGGGAGAGAGACCCGAGAGCTCCACTGGAGCCAGAGCCAGGAAGGCTGCTAGGCCGAGGACCCAGGAGGTTCTGGGGTGAGTGAAGGAGGCAGGGGTAGAGAGCCCATGGCTACAGCCAGCACGCCCATCACACCCTGTCCTGTCACCTGCTGAGAAAGCACACATCTCCCTAACTACTGTCAGAGGCAGATGCTGGGCTTCATGATAAAAATGTTGAATTGATTTTTCTGACCACATAAGCGATATACTCAATTTAGAAATACATGATAGGGAAAACCATTAAGCAAAGTTCTTTTGAAATCCCATCATCCTGGGGCAACTGCAGAAGTATTTTGAAGATCTTTCACACAATTCTGTGCATTTGACATTTATACTTTTATGTTAATGCAATCAGGTTGGTGTCATTAAAGAAATTATGACTAACTTGTTTTCTTTTTCTTTTTTGGCGGAACCAGGGATTGAATTCAGGCCCTTATGCTTGCCAGGGAAGCACTTATTCTACTGAGCCATCTCCCCGGCTGCATTCATCTCCAAATGTAATAGCAGCATTTTTTTTTTTTTTTTTTTTTTTTTTGCAGAACCAGGGATTGAACTCAGGCCCTTGAGCTTGCCAGGGAAGTGCTTATTCTACTAAGCCATCTCCCTGGCCCACAACTAACTTATTTTTAAAAATTTGCTATTTTATTTATTTTACTACAGGGTCTACAGGGTCTCACTACAGATTGGACTTATAGTGATCCTCCTATTTGCAGCCTCCCAAGCACTGGGATTATAGGCACATAACACCATGGCCAATCTCAGTGGCTGTCTCAGTGTGCCCTGGGGGTGGGGCCTGCTCAGCACACGAGGGGAGGGATTGAACCGTGGTCCCTGTGCCTCAGCTATCTGGCCTCTGGCCAGCCCTGGTTTTGCGTTTTTCTGAGATAGGGTCTTACTATGCAGTTCAGGCTGGCCTTGAACTCACTATGCAGCCTGGGGTGGCCTCCAACTTGCAGTGATCCTCCTGCCTCAACCTCCCAAGTGTTGGCATTACAGGTACGCACCACCACACCTAGTTTTAAAATTTGTTCTTGCTTATCTTCTATCCTCTACCATTCCCTTCTAGAGCAAACATTAACACCTGAGTGTATATCCTTATAATTTTCTCCAAATTCATCATAACCACATATAGGCATGTGCATACAATATACCCATGCACACATATGGGATATGTCTTTATTTTATGTATTTAGTACAGGGTCTATGGGGCTCACTACACAGATTGGACTCATAGTGATTCTCCTGTTTTCAGCCTCCTAAGTGCTGGGATTACAGGCACTTGCCAACACGCCCAGTCTTAGTTGCTGTCTCAGCATGCTCCAGGGGCGGGGCTGGCATGGCAGGCTGGGTTGAACCAGTTGCTGAGCCTGCCTAAGCAGGCGCTTTAGTCCACTGAGCTATCTGGCCCGCCCTGGGACATGTCTTGTTCTGTGAGAATGAGATCATTTTATCCTCTGCTTCACTACCATGAGAGTACTAAGTCAGCTGGTAGAGATCCTGCACTTGAACAGCTGCACAGTGGCCCATTTTGTGGACTTAGTACCACTGGCCTCTCCACCTGCTCCTCTGCTGCAGGGTATTCGCACTGTTTCTCTTTCCAGCTATGAACAGGCTACATACAGTACACATCCAGGAGGAGGATGGTGCCGCCCACCCTGCCTGGGATATACAAAGCTTGGATCCAAGGCTGTCCACCAAGGATGGGGGGAGGGACGACCAGGTGTAAAGGACAATGAGAGTGGGGGCTGGGCTGCTGCCCAGACTCACCTGGGCCACATCCAGCAGAAAGAGCTGCAGGTAAAAGGATATGGCACTGGAAGCCACCTGGTTGGGGACACCCCCAAGGCCGTAGCACACCTTGGTACAGAATGAGAGGCGACCGGCTCTGCTGTCCTGGAAGGAGACATGGCAGCAATCCTGTATCCCCACAGACATGAATGGCTCCCCACAAGCAACCCGAGGACTGTTTGTGGGCTTCTCCAGAAACCTCTTCACCCCTTCTTGCCCTCTAATCATCCTAAGGGGAAGTAAGAATTTTAAAGAAGAACCTGAGCCATGACCTCTAAATCTTTCTAGGGGGAAATTCTTCCCTGCATTTCCGCCCATGCTTCCTGCTTTGGGCTGCTTTAATTTACTGAGTCAGCAACAGGAGCGAGCTGTGCATCAGGAGAGCCAGGCTTAAGCCCTTTGTCACCTACTCCCCCATGGCTGTGAATAAATTACTTTCTCTAAATCTTGTTCTGTCTTGTCTGCCAAACGCAGTATACCCACCAACTTCACAAGCTTGTTTTGCTGCTATATGATGGTGCCCCTGAGAGCTGAGAGAAACCCTTCAGGACTTCTGCCTGCCAGCTGTTGAACCTGGAAGCTTGAAATCAGCTACGGTGAGAATATTTACCCCCACAGAAATCAGAAAATACCGCAAGTCAGAGGTTCTCCCAACTTGCTTTTCCTGGAGAGACTTGAGCCCTCTGTCACCTGCAAAGCAGCCTGACCAGCATGACAGCTCAGCATGGTTGTACCCAGCTCCTGTTCCCACCCACTGTCAAGCCAGCTCCAAACCCGAGGTCCTATTGCACTAAATAGTGCTATAGTCTGCTCAGTGGCTCAGGCCACAGCCTGGGCACCATCTTTGACTTGTCTTTCCCAATTCCCCTGTCTATCAGTGGCTTTTGTGCTTCTGGTTTTGTTTCCTCCAAGTGACATCACTCAGCAACTTTTGACTTTTTTTTTTTTCCTGTGGACCCAGGAAGTACTGGGATTGAACCCAGGGCCTTTAAGCTAAGCAACATCCTCAGTAAATCTTTTTTAGATTTCAAGACTGGGTCTTGGTTTGTTTTATGACAGAGTCTTCCTATGTACTTCAGATCGGTCTTGGAACCCAGGCTGACCTTGAACTCATGGTAATCTTCCTGCCTCAGCCTCCCAAGTGCTGGGATTATAGCCATGTTCTACCATATGGCTTGAGACAGGTATTTACTGTCTCTAAATTGCCCAAGAATTTTTAGTCCTTTTGCCTCCACCTTTTATAGTGCTGGCATTACAGGTATGCACCACCATGCCTGGCTTGCGAGTTTTTAATATGAATCAGATCACCTCTCCTGCATGCTGAAAGTTTTCTATAACTTACCATTACAGTTCGAATAACCCCCGAGTCCTCCCACAACCTCCAGGAGCCCACTCAGGTGGCCCCCACTCCCAGACCCACTTTCTACTGTTCAGGGTGCCTAAGCCTGCAGCTGTCCCAGGACCTTCGTATGTCCCATCTCTTCGCCTGTGTAGGCTCTTGTGTGTCTCAAAGAGCACGCTCCTGCCGTCTAGGTGTGAGCCAAAGTGCTATCACTGAGAGGCTTCTCCTGACCACCTCAGTCCCTCTCCCATTTATATTTCCATCTAGTCTATTCTCCTTTACTTCTGGCCTTGCCTTACCAGGACAGAAACTCTCCAAGAGTAGCCTTCATTCACCATGTGCCCCTAATACCTAGAACAGTGGTTTTGTAGGAAGTGCTTAAAAATACACTTTGAGCAAGAAAGTGGCCAGGCACTGGTCCTAGCACAGGAAAGTGCTGGGGTTTTTGCCTGCGACTCCTGCATTCAGAAGACTGAGGCAGTGAGAGAGAGCCTAGCACCAAAACCAAACCAAAATAATGTTATTAATTTAGTAGCCCCTGGGAACCCTCCTTTCTCTCCCTTTGGGGACTGGAGGGGAGGCCTGGCAGGGGACGAGGGCTCTGCTATCTGTGGACACTACCAGGCTCTTTAGAAGGAAAAAGCCCAGATAAGGGTTTTATCCGCCCGCTGCACAAGCTTCCTATCCAGAAGCCACATGAAGCAGGATGTGTTCTCCCTGATGTTTGTATGAAGGTTATTTCAACTTCCAAAAAACCTTAACAGCAGGCAGAATCTACTGCCACAGCCCTTTCTACCGTGCAGTGGGCCTCCCGCTCCCCTAAAAGTCATGGAGACTTCTGAGCGGCAGTTGTACTTAAGTCCAGGCTTTCCAGTTCGCTGAGCCTGAGGGTTTCCAGTCAGACCACCGGGGACCAGGGAAGGTCCTGAACCTCTGCGCCCCAGCTTCCTCCTGTGTAAACCCCGGCTGGCTGGCGGCTCAGTGTTGGTCCTCTCGCCATTAACCTTCCCCCAGGTTCCTAAATGTAGCCGGACATCCATGCGCCTGCTGCACACAGAGAATCTGGCTTGCGGCCTCCCAGTGGCCTTGACCTCATGGGTTCAAGCAGTCCTTTTGCCTTAGCCTCCCCGGTGGTGCCACAGAGGAGCCCACGGGTCTCCGCGGGGCACGGTTCCGTGCTTGGAGCTGCCTGACCACACTGAGGGAGAGATGCCGCACCGTGGGGCTGCAGGGCTGGGCACCCGCTGTGCTCCGGTGACACAGCCCAGAGTCCTTACCACCCCTCGGCGGCGCGCAGGGCTTGAGCGGATGCTGCAGACACCCCTGGCGTCCACCCTGGATCCCGGAGCCCTGCGCGCACTCGGTGGGGCAGGACCTGGGCGCCCGCTCTGCTCGGAACCCTGCAGCTTAACGGGTTGGCGGCCGACGGAAACGGGTGGCCTCGCCCTCTGAGCACTGCCTGTCCCGAGTCCAGCCACCCCGGACCCTGCACTCACCGAAGCCAGCTCCGTGCACGCCGCATCAGGTGTCGTGGCCAGGTCTGGATTGGGTCCCGCGGGCTCCGCCATCCCTGAAGCTCCGCAAGCGCCAGCACCCCGCTCCACTCAGCCTCCCAGCCCTTTGGCCCCCTCCACCAAGAGGCAGCTGGACACGCCCAGGGCCGCCCCAGAACCCCGGGAAGGCCGGCTTCCAGTAGCAGTTCATTAAAATATGAAGCGAAAGCTTCGGATTGACAGGCTTTCCAGCCACCAGCAAGACAGCGGATGCCACCAGTCCCTCACTACTGCGACTGGTAGCCCGCAAGGCCCAGCAGTGCGGTGTATGCCAAGCCCGGGATAGGCCTCGAGGGCCATGGCCTTGCCCTACACACCCCTGAAGTGCATGGAGACCCTAATGTAAGGCTACAACCGCAAAACATACCCCAGCGAGGCAATGCACATCTGTTGACTGGGTACACTGAGGCAGGAGGATCGCTGAGGTGGAAGCCACCCTGGGACCAGGTGAGTTAAAGGCACCTGAACAACACAGAGATCCTGTCTCAAAACAAAACATAAAAAAGGGCAAAGCAAGTCTTCATAGTAAGCAGTTGTTTCTGAGGATGCCAGGGATACAAACCAGACTACAAAATGAAAAAACACATTATATTGTTGGTGGTGTTATAGGGTGGTTTCTTTAGAAAAGGTGTGTGGTGATGCCTGTAATCCCAGCACTTGGGAGACTGAGGAAGCCTGGGCCACATAGTGAGTCCAAGGAAAGAAAGAAAGAAAGAAAGAAAGAAAGAAAGAAAGAAAGAAAGAAAGAAAGAGGCAGGCAGGCAGCTCATGCCTATAGTCCCAGTGCTCAGGAGGCTGAGGCAGGAAGGATTGTTGGAAGTTTGAGACCAGTGTGGGCTATAAAGTGAGCTCCAGGCCAACTGCACAGTGAGACCCTGACTCAGAAAAGAAAGAAGGAAGGAAGGAAGGAAGGAAAGAAAGAAAGAAAGAAAGAAAGAAAGAAAGAAAGAAAGAAAGAAAGAAAGAAAGAAAGAAAGAAGAAAGAAAAAAAAGAAGTTCTCATCAACCCAAAATATCACAGGTCCTTCTCATATGAACAAAAAATTGGACAAGCCAAGCAAAACAAACAACCACACCAGTTTCAAACATTTATTTGAAGAGTAAATGGGGTAAATGTGTATGGGAGAAATCAGCTGTACAGAGCAAACTTAGGTGAATAAAGAGAAAAACGAAGGTGAAAGCAAAAAAGAAAGTACAAAAGCGGGAGTTACCCTGCAAACTCAGGCAGCGTAGCCTTTCTCTGATGGGCACTCTGCCCACCTGGGAGCTTTCCGAAAGTTCTACATGTGGGGTCCTTTCCTCGTCCTGGGACCTTGTACTTGATAGATCTCCATTTCCCAGCCAAGCCAGTTTTGCCACGACCCATCTGATGTAACAGAGGCACATGCTAGTAATCCCAACACTGAGAGGCTGAGGCAGGAGATGGTCAGTTTGGGCCCAGCCTGGGCAATTCAGCAGCTTAGCTGGACTCTTGTCTGAAAATTTTAAAAAATGGCTGGGAATGTAGCTTAGTGCCAAGGCGCTGGGTTTACTCTCCTGTCACACACACACAGACACACAGAAAAACTGTGCGGGAGACAATTTTTCTTTTCCTTTGGTATACTGAGGACTGGACCCAGGATCGGCACACTGAGCTATGTTCCGAGTCCTTGTTATTGCTCATCAGGACTCAAACTTGGGATCCTCCTGCCTCACCCTACCCTCTCAGAGTGCCAGGATTACAGGTGCATCTCGAGTAGCTCTCTACAAAGTTTTAACAAAGGAAAACACAATCCACAGAATGGAAGAAAATATATGCAAATTATTAAGAGATTGGTACTGGAACATGTAAATAATAATAAAAAACTTAAAACACCAACTTAAAAATGGGCAAAGAAGGTCTGGGGAGATAGCTCAGTGGCATAAATACCTCCCTGGCAAGAACAAGGTCCTGAGTTCAATTCCCAGTACCCCCCCCAAAAAAAGGCAAAGGAACAGACATCCTTCTATAGCATATGTGGACAATGAGCACCTAGAAACATGCTTATGTCGTTAGGGAAGTAAAAGTCATAACTAGGAGATACTTCTTCATGTCCACAGGGACTGCTGTAATTGAAAAAAAAAGTATAACTCTAACAGGTGCTGGGGAAGATGTGGAGAACACACAATTTTACACTGCTCGGGGGGACAAAACTACTGCAAGCCTTTCGAAGTCTGGCAGTTCCTCAAAATGTTAAAGAGTTACCATATAGTCCAACAAGCCATCTTCTACTCCCATGTATACAAACTTGAACATGAATGTTCGTTAGCAGCAATATATGAAATAGCTAGGAAATGGAAATAAATGATTACCAGTTATGACTGAATATATAAAAAGGTACTATACCTATGTGATGGACTATTACTGGGCAACAGAAAGAATGATGAGGCCAGGGAGATAGCTCAGAGATCTAAGCGCCTGTCTGGCAAGCACAAGGACCTGGGTTCAAGTCCCAGTACTGCATGGTGTGCCGGCCCCAGAGCCCTGGGTGTGCTCTGCC